CGCCTACTGTTTTTGGAATACTACGAATCCGGACATACTACTCGCCTCGCCTACTGCTTTTCGCCTACTATACATTATGGTAGTAGGCGGTTTCGGACGCAGCCTCTGACTGCGCTATTCAGCCACGCCTCGATTCACCTCACACGCCATATTTTATATTTGTTGCACGCGACAAAATGATCCGTTTCCATTTCCCAAATAGCACGTAATCAAACTCATTTTTAAATAAAAGTAGCTATCTTTATGTCCATTCGTGTCCAGCAAAAGGCAGAGCAACATTAAACACCTAAACCACCAGGTAGTCAAACTTATATAAACCGTATATAAAGAAAACGCCGGCCCAATATATATATATATATAGCTAGCTACCCAAAAACAATTTTCACTAATATCACCTTTGAGAGCACAGCGAAGTTCTGTTACATCGTTAGCAGACAGACATCGTTAGTGTCTATGACGTTTTTACCATGTGATTTAAATACATTGTGTAAAAATGTAGCATTGCCACAAATAATAACTTCTTCTGGTGTTTATTTGCGGTTTGCAATCTAACCTAAGATGCACAAATAACTTTTTCTGATTGTCTGCTAATGTTACCTACCCGCTTCCTCGTCCTAACTCAGCCAGCGAAAAAAGTCGATAAGCTTGCAGCTCCGACACCAAATGTGGATTCATCCACTGCAGAAAATAGTCCCCAACAAATGCACTGTTTCCTCCTGTTTTAGGAATTGACTGAGATACAGTAGTTGTGAGTTGTTTTAAAGATTCACATCTTCAATAAGAGCCACTGGGCTCGGAGGTGGTCGACTGTCACCTAAGCTCCACCGTCCCACCAGAAGTGATGCGAAGTAAAGATGGTGTTGAAGAGTGTGTTACATGTGTGCATTTACATTTACAGACTGTTGTGATTTGATGTGATTTTTATACATGTATATATACACTATGTTTTTAGATATAGAAATGTTTATGGATGCTAAATACGGGAAAAAGCCCACACTGAATGTCTTCTTGCTTTGGAGGCTGACAATAACTAGCACACATGCAGCACAAAGGTTCTATTTAAGCCATCTGAACTTCTGTAACTATGGGGGGAATTGCACATGCCTTGTACTGGTGTTGTTGTAAAGTGTCAAATAGGATATGCCCTTTGCTTCCTTTGCTTCTGCTTCCTGTGAGGGTTAACGCACTATGGTGTAGCAGTAAGCATAATGACACTATTTAGTCTGTGTGCATTTGGAAAAAATGAAGGAACTAATATTTAGTTAAATTATGTCTCTAATGCCACATGCTTGTGTGTAATGGTGCCACATACCTCCAGGAAAGCAATGACAAGAGGTGCAATGATCACCCACTGGATTTGTTTCCTCAGTAGGGCCTCCACAGCACGTTCACAACCCTTCATTAAAAAATTAAAACAAAACTGAGATTTTATGTGCACATCTCACTGGTTGAGCTGGTTTTGAGATGTGTTGCCCCTAGAGTAAAATATTGACTTTTTAAATGCTTGTGTTTGCTGACACTGGCTTTAAAGTGCCACAGATCTCACTGATGTATGTGTAAACATGATACCTGTAAAATAAAATAAAAAGTTTTCTGCAAATTACATCCATTTTATTTTATTAATGTGAGTTAAAGTCACAAAGTTGCCTAGGGCTTTGCAGCATATGACACGCTCCATCCTTTGACCTACATATTTATTTTTGAGCACCGTCTCCTCAAAAAGCTGAGCAGTTTGGTTCTGTATGAGTAGACTGATGTCAGGTTTAAGGTTAGCCAGTGATTCGGATCACTGCATATTATACCAGGATTAATGGCTGATTGATTCTAATCTCCCAAATGATGTCAAGTAGAGCTCTTCAAATTTTGGATTATCATTGCTAATCCAGTTGGAGGTTTCATGTTTGTGCCAAAATTTGGCTGTCACGCCCGTGTTATGCTAGAGATAACCCTCTGGAGAGAGTAAAACTACATAGGCTATAAACTGAGATTAGGATATAGGTAAAAAGCTTCATACATATACATCAGGTCGGCTATCCTGCAAGAGCTCTGATTGGGGAATTTAAAAAATTCTTGACACTATTGAACTAACAGCAATAACTAAGTGAAGTTAATTTAATGATAAACTGGCTGCAAAACAAAATTAATTGTCTGTATATAGTGACTTCAAAGCGGTCCAGCAACCGGAAACAGAAAACGCATAACCGATGACGACTTGACTCCACCTCATGATGCCATTTAGCAACAGATGAGCATCTGTTAATGTTCATTTAGGAAGTGAGGGACGCGCTGGCGTCGCTAGGATCACTTCTGACTGTGTAATGTGTGTCAGGATCTCGGTGCTTTCCTTTTGCCTTGCACCGTAGCTGCCCAGTGTGTTAGCAGCTTCTGCCTGCTTCATCCAAACCGCGTGTCTTATTGCTGGCTGAGTTTTCGTGCCGGATCGTTA